TGAGGACACAGTGTTAATCCCTTTTGTCTTCCCACCATTTGTAGATGCAGAAAGAAGGTGCCATCTTGGAAACAAAGAGCAGCCCTCATCAGACACCAAGTCTGCTGGCACCTTGATCTCGGACTTCCCAGCCTCCAGGACTGTGAGAAATGAATTTCTGTTGCTTATAAATTACCCAGTCTAAGGTATGCTGTCATAGTAGCAGGAATGGACTAAGACTCACGTTGTCAAAATCTTCTTGAGTTAAAGGTGAAGGTACAATCAGAACTGGTACATGGAATTGGAACCATAGGTCTTAGTAAACACTGTAAAAATGCGCTGTTCGAATCTATAGAAAATGCTCTCTCTCCAAGGTCAGAAAGAAGTTACAATCTGCTTTTCCTTTTTTTTCTAAAGGGAAGTAAAATTCCATGTTTCTGGACTAAGAGATCTATACCCCAATCTTTCTCTTTCTGACATTTATAGTAACCTTTATAGTAACCTTTGGCAAATTACTCAAACTTTCTTTGTTCCGGTGAAAAGAAAGTGCACAGGACAGTATTACTAAGTGGCCTGAGCAACATTAGAGGTAGATAACCATGATTCCAAAGGCCTTTAAGAAGGTGTAATGCTATGTGGATGTTTTTATCGAAACCTTCTCTGATTTTTCAGAATTCTCTTTGGAATTAGTCCTGTGGGACTATGCCTTTTGGGAGCTACTCTTACTTCTTATTCAGTCCCCTTTTCTTGTATTAAAATCTACAACTTGAAGTTATTCTGTCATTTAAAAATCAGGTCCATGACCTCATCATCACCGGGTTTTCCTCTCCAGGCCATTTCCAGTAGAATGTTGGTCATATTCCCATGTGAGAGAACAAGTCAGTTATTCATTACATCTGATCAATGAGCTAGTGCTATACCATAAGGAAGTGTAGTAAAACCAGAAACTGAGAAACACCAGAAAAACATTTGTTTTGTCCTGTGTTTTAATTTGGGGTACGATAAAGTGCCACAGGACATTAATCCAGGGACTGAGATAGACTCTGAAGTTTGGCAATCAGTGAAAGAACTTGCTGAATCTCTCTAGAATTAAGCTAAAGGAGCCAGCCTCTCTTCTCATGAGAACGATTTATTTTAAGGGTTAGTTGAGAATTAATTCTATAGTGTTTAATTCCACATATAAACTTCATTTTTATATAAATATTTTGTTGTAACATATTCAATTACTTTCTTTTCTTGTTTTTCTGCGACATTCCCTTTTTCACCTTTTCTAACTTCTTAAACCAAATTAAAAAAACTCACTTATCTTCTTGCTGTTGTAGTATTTGCTTTCATTTCTTACTTACACTCTGATGATGTTTACCCAATCTGCCCACATCACCTGGATTCCAGGTGTACCATTCTTTCCCTGGGGAAAGCAGTCATTCTTCAAGGCAAGAGATGCAAGAATGAGCTCATGTCAAATGATATTTTCTGATTTTTTTTCTCCAGATGTGGGGAACCAAATCAGATCTTGTGCTTTTGGCTGCTAACTTTGAGTCCTCTTCCTTTACATCTAAATGACAATTTGTGGATCAATGAGGATGTGTCAACTAGCAAGATTGAGGACCTGGAGGGATGCTCTGCGGAAACTGCTTTAAAATCCTTCAGAGGGAGGGCACAGAGCTCTGGTTCTGGTATGTTCACTGAATCTGGAGCAGTGGGGAAACTTGCTGAGATTTGGCATTCAAGACCAAAGAGATTTACCTAGGGTCTGTGCCCCGTAGGCCAGAATTATTGCTACTGTTGTTCCTCATTTATGCTACTTTTTCACTTGGAAAAAGATGAAAACTTGTAAGGCAGTGAATCTATCTTTACTCCTTTTCAGATGACTGATTCTAAAGGCAGGGTGAGGTTCCTGCTGACCCTTCTGTTCCATCCTGATTGTCTGCCTTACTGAAGGTCTCTTTTCTACAGCTCACAATAGTCGGGTAGAGCCCAGTGATGCCGAGCCACAGAAATGAGACCTTGGAGGGAGAAGTACTACAGGCCTCTGCTCCAGTTTCCATAGAAATGAGCCAGAGGTGGTACCAGTCACAGGGGTTCTTACAGCCAAAGAGAATTTATTTTGAGAATCCCATCACCTAACAAATACCACTCTGCAGTAGTTTTTACAGGTGTAATTTATTTCATTGCTCTGGATAGCTTTGGCTCAGGCTTTCCAATGCCCTGTTGCAGCCTTTCTCCTTAGAATTCTCTTTTTGTTGCTTTCAAACTTGATGGAAAAAGATAACCAATTCATGCCAGTCAAGCTACAGATTCTGAACAGAGGGTTTAAGATAATTTATTACATTTTACATATTTACATTTAATTTATAACATTTATTCCTAAAGGTTTAGGAGAAAATTCAATCCCAGCTAAAGAGCTGTAATTAAAAGAGCACAGAACCAGCAGTCAGAGGCCCCGAGCTCTGGCTGAAACTTCAGCTCTGCCAGAAGTAACATTTCCTGTGTGACCTTGGGCAGTTCTGCAACTTTCTGAGCTATGATTTCCTAGTTGGTAAAATAGAAGGATTGGATTGGCTGCTCTTTAACTTTTTCTGGCCCATGAATTTCTCTGAATCAATGGTGTTATGTAATGGCAAGAAAGAGATTCCATGAAAAAATACCACTGCTCTGTGGTAAAAATGGTGGTAAAAAAATTTATTTGTAGGAAGGTTGTTAGCAGTAACATCGTAAGGGAAGGAAAAAGAAAGGAAAGAAAAGAAAAAGCCTACCTATTTACCAAACTTCTGCAGTGTGCTAAGCAAATTTACAAACATTATCTCAGGTGGAAAGACATAATAATTTCAGGGATTTCCCTCCTAATGGAGAGAGATGACATTGTTGCTTGTTGCCCCAAAAGTGCTGTGATAGCAACATTCATGGAGTGTTTCTATGTGCCAGGCACTTTTTGAGGCCCTTTACACATACTGACACAATTCATTATTCCCATTTACAGATGCTGCAACTGAGGCATAAAGAGGTTAAGTATCTTGCCCAAGACCATCCATTTAAGTAGCAGAGCCAAACTTTAAACTCAGAAAGTCAGACTCTTGAACTTGCACTTTTAACTGTATTCCCACCTTGCCTCTTGCCATTCATTCATTAAGCAAATATTTGGTGAGCATTGACTCTATGAAGGCATTAAATTAATCCCTTTTGAAGATTCCAAGCATGTCACCATGTCTTTGTCTTTAAGAAGCTTGCACTATACACAATAGATGATCAGGTATGTGTGTGAAATGAGTGACCACACTCAACCTTAGCCAGGCAGTACTTGATAACCATCTCTGTATTCTGCAAATGTTCATAATTCCATTCAAATAAGTAGACAGGGCCTGGCAAGAGGGGTCCCTGCTCTGAGCACCTGCTCCAGAGGTCCCACTCTGATTCTCTAGCCCTGGTCCTCTCTATGGCCAAGGAATCCAGGGGGCACAGAATGCACCTACCTGGAGCCTGAGTCTCAGTCCCTTCTAACCTCCCTGTTGGGTAGTTGAGTCCTTGCAACAGTCTTCTCCAAACCCCCTGAGCCTACTTCAAGGGCTTGTACTGGAAGCAAAACCCCTGAGGGCAGACCACATCCGCTAGGCACATGCTCCTCAGCCAGGGGGATGGCCAAGGGCAGCTATTTGTGGGAGGGGAGTATGGACAGACCTTAAACCCATGGGCCCACAAGGACCTGTGTGTAGCAGGACTGAACTGAGAATAGAAGGAGGAGTGGGTGGGTCATTTCCACCCACAATCCCACTGCCATGTTCAGTGCAGAACTCCAGAGATTGAGAGAACTCTACATTAGAACCTGGTCTTTTAGGTTGTTATGAAGATAACTTGTCAAGGTAGGAGGACAGCACATGTTTCAATTAAACTTGCTCACTTGGTTTATAGCTTTTACAATGTAGACATATGGGCATACAGTTTCCATTTGGCCCCAGCATACCCCTCCACTTCATATCACGTTTACTCTGTTTCCTGTGCTCACCAAGCTCTAGTTCTTTCAATTTCTTTCATTTTCTAGAACTCTCCCAGGACAGTCTAACTTAGACACTGTTTCTGGCCTGTCTGCTCTTTGAGTGGTAACATCATGAAGTAGCTGGTTATGAAAGGAGCACTGTGCCATAGAACTGAGGAAAGCACAGGCTCTGCTAGAGATGTTAAGTATTCTCTCTCCTTGAAGGCTGGTTCTTCTGAAATCAAAATATTCAGGGGGGAAGTAAAAGGGGCACAAGGCATCTGAATTCCAAAGGGCTAGGGAAGCCACCACTTCCTGGATAACTGCACTCCCTCTACCTTACACCTAAAACAAGGTTGAAGAGGCCTGCCAGGGCCATCTCAAAAGGAGAAGCAAAGCCTGCAGAGGAGGCCAGCCTGAGCCCTGGGGTGGGAACAGGTGCTGGACACAGCATAAGGAGGAGAGCCTGGGTTCAGTTCCATGAATCTTTGCTCCCTTCTACATTATGAATTCTGGTTAGTGCCTGCCAGAGGGATGTCTGATGGCTCCACCCTCAACTGGATCACCTTTAGCCCAAATTGCAATAATTTAAGTGAATCAAATTACTATAAAAAGATACTTTATTATTCACTCACTGGACATTTACTGAGGGCCTACTATGTGCCAGGCAATGCTCTGAACTTGCCCTACCTACTGGATGTTACGTACTAAATGTTATAGACAATGTACTCTAGTACATTCTATAAATTATATAGTATATAATGAGTACTATATCTATATTCTCTATGCTTGACGTGCTGTATTAAACATCACACCCTGTAGTCTACATACAGTGGATAAAATACAGAATATATTATATATGTATTATGTCTACTAGAACAGTCTTTTGCCACAATAGGAATTTAGTAAATATACATTCATTGAATGAATGAATGAATATGATACTTACTTAATACCATATTCTAGCAGAGCTTGGTCATTGAAGAGTTATTCTTCCAGACCCTTCCCTTCCTACCCGCTTCTTGAAGGCTAAGATTTTCATCTTTCACCACCTGTTCTGGATTCTTGGAACAGGTAAATTCATTGGCCTACCCAAGTCTGAGCTCTAGGTCTGAACCCGCATGGACCTGAGGGTGCACCGGGAAAAGAAAGGCTGACAACTGGACCCCAGGAATGTCAAGGCCACCCTGGGCTTGGAGGGAGGAGCCATGCCTCCACGCTCCACTCAGAGAGGGGGTTCAGGATACTGGGTGGTTCCAGGTGATCTATTGCTTTCTGGAGTTTAAAGTTCAGGGGATAATGAAGTCCCACAGCTGGAAGGGGTGTTAGTGACACTGCCTAGCCCAACTCTCTTAAAAATCATAGCCCTACTCCTGCCTCCCCAAATCAGATAAGACAGGCATAGGCTCTGACTGTTCCTTAAGTCTTAGCGGCAATACTCTGGCCGGGTTTGTGGGGTTGCCTCCAGTTCCATTGCTTTTGTAACAGGTGGCCAGAAAGCTTGGGGTCCCATGATAAGCGTTTCAGTTCTTTCCAGGATGGATCGAAAGAAGGAAGGAAGGATGGATGAATGAATGAGTGGGTGAGGGGATGGATGGATGGATGGATGGGCCAGAGACTGGGAACGGTAATCGCGGCCCGACGGGTCCGAGCCCCTCCGGAGCCCTAGCCCTCCTCCTGCTGTGGGGCCGCCGCTCCTCCTCCCGGGCTGGCTTGGAGCCCTGAGGAAGGGGGCGGGCGAGCGGGGGCCCTGGGGTGGCCAGGGCGCGGGGAGGGAGGACTGGGCGGTGGGGACCGAAGGGGAGGGAGGGCCTTGGAGACGGAGAGGAGGGACGGGCGGGGAGAGGGCCCGGCGGAGGGGCGGCGGACACCGCGGGAGCTCCGCGCGGCTGCAGCGCGGGCGGGAGCAGGGACGCAATGTCGCTGCCGCCGCCTCCTCGCGGGCCGGGGCTGCGCCGCCGGGGCTGAGCCGCCGTCAGAGCCTACAGCTGAGCAGCCGCCAGGCGCGCCTGCGGCGCAGGAGGATGGGCTGCGGCGGGAGCCGGGCGGATGCCATCGAGCCCCGCTACTACGAGAGCTGGACCCGGGAGACAGAATCCACCTGGCTCACCTACACCGACTCGGACTCGCCGCCCAGCGCCGCCGCCCCGGACAGCGGCCCCGAAGCGGGCGGCCTGCACGCGGGTAAGTGGCCCGGTGCCTGCAGACCCTCGCCCGCCCGCTTCCCAGGGCGCCTTGGCCCGGGCACTGAGAGAGGAGCCGGTTCCCCGAGGAATTGATGGCTCGGTAGGGGTGACTGGGAGGAAGCAGAGGCAGGACCTGCCCGCTGAGCGGTGGACAGACGCAAGCCCAGGGAGCGGGGTCGACCAGAGCCCCTTACCGAAGGCTGCGCCGATCCCCCAGCTTCGGGAAGCCCAACGCTGCTTGGCCTTGTCCAAGGCTTGCTTGCTGGTCGGGGGACCGGTGGGTGGGAGGACAGTCCACCTCCCCCGCACACCTATCCCTCAGCCACCCACCCCGATCCGCCCGGGGCCGCCTCCGCCCCATTTTGGCCCATCTGCCACCCCGGCCACCTGCGTACCCAGCCTGGTGACTTCTCATCCATTGGCCACCTGGCGCCCCTCTCCCTGGATTTATACACAAGGCGCCTGCCTGGGTTCGCCTGGGTGGAGTCTTCCTTGTCGCTTCCCCTTTTCTCCCTCTAGGAAATGAACCCAGTCGCGGTCTTCAAAGACCAGAATCCTAGTTTAGGTCAAAATAAATGTATGCCCGCCCCATCGCTAGTTCTGCACTTTAGGTTACTTTGGAGCAGTTGTTCCATAGCAAAGGACTTCTCTCCCTACCCCATGGTGTCCCAATGCTTTGTAGGAGGCAGGGCATACACGTGGATTTTGACTCTAAATTAAATACTCTTGCCTAGGTCTTTCCTCATTCAGCAGAAATCTGATAAAAGGAGATGCAAAGAACTGTCTGGTCAGGTCATGAGTCAAGATTTTTTTCTTTTTCTTTTTCTTCCCCCCACCCCTTTTTTTCTTTTTTAGCAGAACAAGTAATTACAGTGCAGAGATGCAAACTGTTGCCACAGACTGACCTTTAACCATACACGTATTGGTGACATTGAAAGGAAAAAAATCTCACTACTTATTACATGGATGTTGTCCAAAGCTAGATCAATATCTAGACAAACATGTTTTAAGTGTTTCTTCGCCCACTGATGTTTTTGGCATTTTTGAATAATGAAATCTAAAATGGAAAATAGGGTTAATTTGAAGCATAATGTATACCATAGGAGGAGGAAGGAAATGCGAATTACTTTTAAAAGGTTAAGAATCTTAAATCCATGCCTACTAAATAAGAGCTGTCACTTTAATCGAGAATAGATTTCTCCATTTTTAAGGGCCAAAGCTGGCTCCTTTTCCACATTAACTTTGTGACTTGCTTTTATTTTAAAATTGAGGACTGTCTGTGAAAGCTATACAATACAATACACACTATATTTGTCTCTAGATTTTCTGACTCACAGTGGCAATCATAATGGTTATTTTGTATTGCCAATGCTTTTAGCAAGTTACCAAATGGTGTGTTGGCTGAATTCAGTGTCAGCATGAGGATAGATATGAGCCTTCTAGATGGACCTGGTAAATGTTAGATGTGACAGAGTTTCCCAAGGAGGTGTGGTACTTCTCAGCAGAGAGTCAAAGGCCAGAGATGTACTCCAAAGAAATAAGAGTGAAAAGATCTAGCATGAAAAAAATATAATAAACAATCAAAACCCCGTTAAGTACCGCTTTAAGAAATGGTTACCATGGTGACTGGGAGTATATGGGGTATGTGTGTGTCTCTGTGCGTATATGCATGTGTATGGGTATGAAAGTTATTATGGGATGGCTCTATATGTACATACTTCCTCACAACTTTCCTGACACTCTTTGATTTTTTACTCTGCCATACTAATTCACATCCCATCCATCATGAGATCTGGTCCCTGCAACAGGTGGGGCCTGGGACAGACACACTCATTCACGGTACCCTGCCAAACATGGGCCAGCCCTGCCAGACAGGTGGTCCTGAAGGCCTGCATCCTCCAGAGGAGGAGCTCCACTTCAGCCCCAGGACAGCACCCTGAAATTGGCAAGATGCTTGTATGGGCAGGGTCATTTTAATTCCCTAGGAATTTCTGTTAGCCTCAGGGGAGGAGGATATTTCTGAAGACTAAGATTAAATCAAGGCCTTCCTTGGGAGTGTACTGACATTGCCTAGGGCCTTTGGGAATGGCTTGACTCCTGTGGGTTTTTCAGACTGGGAGCTGGTCATCTTTAGTCAGAATGGGTCATCTGTGAAAGCTACAGATCTCCTGGGTTTCAGCCACCCTGGGAGATGGGCCAGGACTCTGTATTCCTTTCATCCCCTTTGCCTCCTCACTCCCACCTCACCCACTCCCTGCCAGCACTTTACTCATTAATTTACCGCCAAGCTGCCGGGGGACACCTAGTAGCCCCCAGTGGCTGTGTTGTGATAGGAGGCCAGAACGCCATGTTTTCTTGTTTACAGCATTTGTTTTCTGATGGGAGAGGTGGGTAGGAATGAATGAAAGAGCTAGATTTAGGAGAGTCCAGATTGTAAAATCAACAAAAATGGCTTCACTACTGGAGTTCTAGAGCTGGAGAAGTCAGCCGAGTGAGGCAAATGAGACTCTCAGGGGAATCATCCCTGGCGGAACACTCCTTCAACCACTCACAGACTTTACCCTCAGTTCCCAAGAATCCTTTCTGGGACATTAGTGATTCTCCTTTGGTGTCAAACTGAAGCCACCTTTTCTCCTGGCTACTTCAGGACTTTTGAGGGTTAGGGGTGAAGCTAATTCATCTTTGTGTCTTCTGTACTGAGCACATCTGGGACTTTGTAAAAGTTTTCAGAATGAATGGATGCTCTGTGTAAATCTGTCCTCCATCCTGTCAGCTCTTCCTAGATCCCCTTCTGCCTCTTCTTTGCAGTCCTTGCTACTGAGGTTTTCCTACTTGAATCAGTTTAGCCTAAATTCTCCCAAGGGCCTTTCTGATCTTAACTTCTCTTTAAAAAGTTCTCCCCAACTTTACCCTACTCCCTTCAAACACCTGACCCAATCCAAAGATTCCATTTCTTCTGTAGCCTCCCTGAACCCACCACCTCAACTCCACAAACACATCTGTCCAAGAAAAGTCCCATTTAATCACATCTGCTTTTAAATCTCACTTGTGTTTCTCTTAGCCCAATCCAGATTGAGGGTGTGTCACATGACAGGTGTCCAGCAAATATTTGTTGAATGAATTCTGAATTTCACTGCAGATAGGGAGGGGCATGTTTTTCTGCCAATTCACAAAGAAGAGGGTTTCCTGCATCTTCTTACGCAAAAAGTGATCCTGAGCCTGTGGTTCCTGTTTTTGGAGATCATTTCCACTACTCAGTAGAACTGAATTAATTTTTTAGATTTGACTGTTAAGTAGGCTAGAATTTAAGACCTAGCTGAAGCCATGGTATGTGATAGCCATTGCTTTCCTGTGTCACCAAAGTCTGTCCCTCTGTTACAGAAGAAAATCAGATTGGTCTGACATAAATTAAGCCTCATCAAATTAGTCTGCTGGATTGATTTTTAATTCTGTTGCCTGGTGGGGGTCTCCAAGGAGAAAGGAAGTCTCTGAGGTTGCCATGACCCAACCTAGCTCAGTCATTCTATTCATTAATAACTTCCTAGCTTCACCTCAGTGTAATCACAAGCCCCATAAATTGCATCCTTAAGCACGCTTTTTTTTTTTCTAATTTCTGCAGAGAAAACATTTCAAAACTTTCTAAAGAACTTCTACTTTCCATTTTTAAATTGCTAAATAATTATCTTAGTATAATAGAGGTTTGCAGAATTACAGACAGCAAAATGATTTACCTAAATAAACTGAAAGTCAAATAAAATGGAGAGTATTTAATATTATGATTACCCATCATTTGACTTACCAGGGGCCTGGTGCTTTGTTGGGCACTTTGAATTTTCTCATTGAATCCTCACTGCAGGAATGAGGCAGGAACTATAACCACCCTCCTTTTACAAGTGAGGAAATGAGGCTTGAAGTCTGCAAGTAACTTTTCCCAGTTCCAGCCTGGAATCTAGCTCTATCCAATTCCAAAGCCTCTACTCCTAAATACTGCCTTCCTGATTAATAAGGGATATGCTGTGAAATTCTTGATTTTACAGTTCACGAAACTCAAAGTCAAGTCTGATCTTTTGATATTCTACTCTGATCTCAGACAGCACAATTGTCTTCCGCATCATCTCTAAAGGTTGGAAAATCTTTTCCCTAAGGAAGGAGGCCTTCCCATACCTTTGTGGAGCAGTTCTCTTGTGAGACTCTTTCTGATTCCTTGTAATTTCTACCCGGTGAGCTCCAGACCGGTGTGATCAAGTCTTGCACAGACAGCTCTTTCAATATTTGAAGATGGCTGTCACATCTCTTACCATTGATCTTCTAGGTCAAATACATTCAGTTCCTTCAATCACTTCTCATGTAGGCCGGACCACATTCTCTAAATACACTACTTGGTTTGTCAAAGTCCTTCTTGATACAAGGGACCTATGGCTAACTCCACGCTACTGATGTCAGCTGAACGGCATAGGGCAATACGAGGTGTGTTATGATATGGTCATTGGACAGACCCTCTTGGTTTGTTCAGGTTAGGATTTGTTTGTCTTCCTGCTGTTGTTTTTACCATATTACCTTGATAACGCACATTAAGCTTATGATTAGTTAAAACCCTTAGATCTTTCTTTATACTCAAATTTAAGTTTTATGACATCAAGGACATTGTCTGTATTTTCTCTGCTGTGTACCCAGCACCTGGTACAGTGACTAAAACATAGGTGGCGCTCAATAAACGTTTGTTAAATGAATGGATTTCTTTCCTTATGAATCCTGAATTGCTATGACTGATTTCAGCACCCCAAATAAGGAATTTTTGCATTTATTTCTGTTAAATTTCATCTTATTGGTTTCAGTTTAGTGTTTAAATTTGCTGACCTTGATTCATTTTGATAGAGCTATGAAGACAATATTCTAGGTCTTCGTTTCCCTGTGTTGATAGAATATGATAAAAGACATGTCTTTTTTAGCTCTTTTGTTCACTGAATAGACATTTGCACAAAGATGACCTGAAGAAGT